GAAAGATCGGGTGAACTTAATCTTCAAAGCCTCCTGGGACATGAGGGAGAATAAGGTTTTTCATGTTGCTAGTACGTCAAAGAAAAGGTTTCATATTAAAATTGTCTAAACTTTTAGATTCTGTCCCACAACCCTGTTTGTTTTCCAGCTGAAATGAACTGAATCTTCCTAGGTTTCCTTTATGATTGTGTAGTGGAAATAATTGTGAAAGAACTGCCCATGCCAAAATGGGAGAAGCTAAGCTCATCACCAGGTCTGGAACAGAACAGGAGCCTGGGTGACAGGTAGGATGGCACACGTCATCATCCTGCAGACAGAAAGTAGGTGGGAATGCCCAGGTTTATAGATCAGAGAATTCCAAATCAATATGGAACTAATATCGAGAGAGGGACATGCCAACAATTGTATCCAAACATGAGAGTAAGGCTAAGGAACATGGGAAGAGGACAGTAGGGGGAAGCCAGTTCATTGTTTACAAACTTTTAAAATGTGAATTAGGTGAAGAATTATTGAGTGGATCTTCAGTATTAACATTCAACAATTCAAACATATCTTGTGTGAACCCATTCGTTGCAATTACCTCAGTGTACCCCAGCCTGTCCCGTGTTCTTATGTTTCCTGTGCCCATTCCTCTTTTGAACTTGGTGTTTGGGTAAGTGCTGCCCCATGCTATCAAATGGTTGGTTATTTTAGGAGGTGCACCTCTCATGAGTTTTATTACTCCCCCTGTGACCCGTCTCTTCCTTTGCTGACAAATGAGTGATGGTGGTGGGTTCATGTTAAGACTTGAAGGGTGCCTAAGCGCCAGAGTCTCTGGGTTCCACCAGTCTTTATCAGACCTCTGTGTTTGTTGGGGGGGAGTTGTTTGTTTGTTTTCAAGGATTCAGAACAGAGAATCTTTCATGTTTGTGACTCCATGCAGTTCCTCAAGTTCTCTTCCAGTCAGCGTTACAGTCTTACATGTTCTTTCACCAGTAAGTCAAATGCAGCCTTTGACACATGCTCACTTTATCTTGGTGTGAACCTCATGTTCCAGCTTTTCCAATGACACGCCCACTCTGAGGTTAGTAAGAACGTTTGAATCGAGAAGGGTGGGCAGATGTCGGATCAGCCTGAAAATCTCATGATATTGGTTCTTTGGCCAGACTAGAGAGAAGGAGGCGTTTTCCTTAATTCCACTGTCTGTCCAGTTCAGCAGGAAGGATAAGAGGTGTTGCCTGTAATGGAATGCACCTCCCCATCTATAAAAAACTCTCATATACACCATTGTTTCATATTTTTACATTGGATTTTTTTTGTTTCATATTTTTACATTGGATTTATTGTAGAATATGTCTGTATAAGGCTGAGATGGGGAATATTTTTTCTACCAAGCACCGTTGGATATTTATGGCATCATTCTTAAGCCATACAAAATTATCAACTTAAAAATTAGGCTGCTATATTTGGTCAGATATTTATTTCACCCCGGATATGATGGGCTAGGGGCATAATGGTTACATGTTTTGTTGCTAACGACAAATTCAGAGTTTCACACCACCAGGTACTCTTTTGGCGGCAGGGGTGGTGGGTGGAGGTTAGGGTGGCAGGAAGGTGGGTATGGGACTTTCTACCCCCATAAAGAGGTATAGCCTCAGAAACTCACAGAGGCAGTTCTAATCTGTCTTATAGCATCTCCGTGAGTTGAAATTGGCTTGATAGCAGTGAGTATGGTCTTTTAAGTGAATGTGGTCAATGGAAATGGTACTCTTTTGTAGGGTGTGTGGTGTTAACTGGTATTGATGATTTCACAGGCCTTAGTGGTTATGAGTTGGGCTGCGATCTGCAAGGTCACCAGTTCAAAACCACCAGCAGTGTCTTGGTAGCAAGATGAGGCTTTCTACTCCTGAGAAGTAGTCTCAGGAACTCACAAAGACATCGCAACCCTGTTCCATGGAGTCACCGGGACTCTGCAGTGAGTTTAGTTTTTTCCTCATTGTTTTGTATGGCTTCTAGGATGGACATTCCCCACCTCTTGTCTAAGGAGCCCCGGTGTCACAGTGCTTCAGTGCCAGGTTGCTAAGTGAGAGGTTAGCAGTTCAAACTCACTTAGAAGGGACAGAGACTTCGTGATTGATAGGCTTCTGTAAAGCTTATATTCTAGAAAGCCTCTTGGGAACAGTTCTACTCTGTCATATTGGGTCACTAGGAGTTGAATGCTGACTTGACAGCATTGTTTCACTGGTAAAATCCTGTGAGTTTTAAACCACCAAGTTTACAAATTATCATGACTTACCTAACTTATCACCTCTCAGCAGTCCAGCACCCATAGCTGGGGATAGTAACCTAGTCTTTGTTCTATAATACACCCCCTCAGGACCATGGCTATGTGGACTCCATTATTTCCTTACTACTGAGGAGCAAAAATGGCTTTGGATTTAGTCTTGACCTCTGATCTTTTTTTCTTTGGGGGCATTGCTTCTAGGAACTTTGGATCATACTTCCTACTGCATGATTCCTGTATGCTTTGTGCCCAGACTTCTGGATTTTAATTGCTAATACTATGTTCTGAGAGCTGTAGACTGACATTAAATATTTGGAAAAATAGCAGTTTAGGACTGATTTGGGCATTACCACTAATCCACTCACCTTTTCACACTCTGATCTTTTATCTGGCGTTTTAAAAAATTCCCAGCTTCTCAACATTGCCTGTGTCTTTGAGGTTAGCACTCTCACCTGCTGTCACATTAGCCCTGACTCCTGGCAACACATGAACCATAACAGAGTGATGGGCTGTGGGGTTGGGTTTTTTGAGGTCCTTTTCATTCACTGATTGCCAGGCCTTTCTTTCTAGTCCATTTGGCTCTACTGACGTCTGTTCAGCATCCTAAACATGTGTGAACCTCCACTGACAGCTGAGTGCTATCTGGAAATGAAGTGCACTGTCTGGGGAGTGGGCCTGGGTTCCCCATATGGAAGGTGGAAATGTTACCACTGAACTGCCAGTGACTCATAGCTTCTGGATGGCTTTTCCGTGCTCTCTTCAATCGGCCCAGTGTAACCTCTGATTTATGGCTCTTCTACTATTAAGCTTTTGAAATGTAGTCTATTCAAAGTGAATTATCTATTTTATAAGCCACTACTGTGTTGTAATAACCATCTTCAGAATTCTCGACATAAAAATATTTAGTTTCAGTAAGTCTGGAGCCAGCATTGCATACGGAGGCCTGTTTATCTCAGAGAATCAAACAAGTTTGTGCAAATTTTCTACTCTAATGATCTTTCTTTGCTTAAGATCAAATATTTTACTCTTTGGTCCACTTATAAGCTTGATGAGTTAGTTAATTAGACCCACATATATTATTATAGACTCCAAGAGTTTTAATTAAAATGTGCTAATGTGTAAAATCAAATGTGCATCATTGGTTTCCTAATTTTTCCCAGGTTTAGATAGAGTGAATAAATGGTACACACCATAACTTTGGAGCTGATGTAGAAAATTTTTTATAACATCAATTAGATTATCTGTTTATTATATAATATCTTACACTTGGGTTAAAGTTATGTAGTTGGAAGTCTAATGCAAATTTTTGTGGCTTTTGATAGATTAAATATTTACTAAATTATAATTTAGTGTTAGAATATGCCTGATGGCTGTTCTCATGTCAAAATGTGTTAGGCAGCTCTTCCAAACTGTTAGTGTTAAAACCCAATTAGTGTATAAATTTGTTTCATAAACATAGTATCACCCAATGAATGCATAATGAAATATGGAGGCATGATAATTTTTCTATTGATGTTTATGAAGTGTGATATTTAGGTAATTATAGTATCCTGTGGAGTATAACTTTAATATGTAATAATAACAACAGTTTCTTCTATTAAGGTCTTAGGATGTGAGAGAACCAAGTTCAATTCTGAGCCAATGCTCTTTAAGTTCCCTAACCAACTGTCAGCTGAGGCTTAACTGTTATGATAGAGAACAGGTTTTAGCAACAGTTCCAGACTAAAACAGACTCGGAAGAGGGGCTTGGCCACTTACTGCTAGAAACCAGACAGTACAAATCCTTGGGCTCACAATGATCTGATCCTGTTACGCGTGGTGTTGCCATGAGATGGAGGCAACTTACTGCCACCCGACAGCAGATAGCACAGTAAGTGCTCTGTATATTGTCATGCCACTTAAACCTTTATCACAATTAAGATGGAGATACAATTTTAATCCTGATTTTATAGATTAGAAAACTGAAGTATGCACAAATTACCTTAAAAATTTTAATGTTATCAAGATGGACAGAAGAAAAATCAGGACTTTACTTCAAAATATAGAAAATCCTATTAACATACATATATATCTCGTATGTTGGTTTGGCTTGGTTTGTGTTTACTACTGGTTAAGATGGCTTATCATACTCTGCTTCATTTCTTTACCAAGAAGATGCATTATTAAAATGAGTGCCTTACTGAAAGATAGTAAGTGCTTAGGTCATGGAAAACATGAATTTTAATGCATCTTGGCCTTAGTGACTCTTAAAAGCATGACTTTATTTCAAAGGTGAAGAAAGGAGAGAAGGAAGTAAGTGTATTTTGGACATCCAAAATATTCTACAAATTGACCTAGACACTCATGTTTGTTCTTAGAGTCTACAGGTTTATGATCTTCAATTCTTTATCCCAAAGCTTTCTGATAAGATCTGTTTCAAAATTTATATTATTTTTTGGAAGGTTATATAATGCATATAGCACCCTGTCATTGAAAAATATTAAGTATTGGAGTCAAATGTATAAGCAGTCATTTTAAATGAAATAAATACAAAACTATGAATAGTCCTATCATTGGTTCAGGTCAGGCTTTCAGGCCAAATGAGTTCACATCAGATGAAATTTACTACTAAATAAATACTGAAAACTCTATTTACAGATATTTCTGATTTCATAATTATATAATTCAGATAGTGGATTTATATGATGCCCAGGCCAGAGATGGGATAACTGAAACTGAAACAGCTTAGGTGACTCACCTTATGTGAACATAATAGTGGAACGAGGATTGAACCTTGATCTTGGTCAGGTGAAGAAGTCCAGTGTAAATTTCCAGGATGAAGTGGGAATTGTGGGCTTCTCTTTAGGACTGGAGATGATTAATAGAGAACTGAGCTCATTCTTTGCAAGAGACTTTCCAGTGGACAGCGTGATGTGAGCACCAGATCAACGTGATGTTATTTTGTGTTACACAACATTCTATGACTTTCTTGCCAAGAGCCCAACCTTCAGGAACCGAGGTATGTAGGCACAAACCAAAAATGTAATAAACATTATCAAGCCACTGATGTGTGCAAGAACTCTGTGGAATGAGAAACATAGCACAGAGTCTCTATCAGTAATCTCCATCAGAGGTACAGATGACATGTAATTTATTTTGTCTTTTTCTAATACAGTCTCTTCCTAGTTAACCAAAGCAAGCCAAACCCACTGTCATTGTGTTGATTTCCACTCATAGCTGGCCTGTAGAACAGAGTAGAATTGGCCCAACGGGTTCCCAAGGCTGGACGCACACTCTGCCATGTCTTCCTTCTGCAGAGAAACTGCTAAGTCTAACTGCTGACTTTCAGTTTAGCACCCTAGCATTTACACCAATTGCACCACAAACGTGTTTGTACACACTGGTTATTCATTAACTCTCAAACCCACTGTTGTCAATTCCAACTGATAATGGCCCTACAGAACAGAGTCAATGTGCTCTGAATTGAATGTCTATATTTAGTTAATGCCCGGTGTTTGGTAGCACCCTCTATTCAAATTTCCCTTCTTGAGATAGTCTCAGTTCTATGAGGTGTGGGCAGCTCAAATGCTAATGGGCAAGGCTCACCTAAATGGCACAATGGCAAAGTGCTCAACTGCTAACTGAAAGGTAGGGGTTTGAACCCTCTGTTGACATTATGGGAGAAAGGTTTCATGAGCCCCCATACAAATGGCAGCCAAAGAAATCGGATTGGCAGTTCCACTCTGTCACATGAGGTTGCTTTGCATTGGAATCCACTTGATGGCATCTAACGAGGATTGCCTGTTAATACTGTTCAAATACATTAAGCAGGACGGGAGGTCGTAGACGGTGTGGAGTCTGGCATGGGACCTTTTTCAGGTTATGATGCAAGTTCATGGACCACATATTAAGTAACAATGGTGTAAATCACTTCATGCAGTTGGACCAGGGAGGCATCTTCTGTCCTCTTGGTCTTGGTGACATAATTCTTCACTGATCTCATGGGTGTGGCACAAGGCAGTCACCCACCTGGGCTTCCATGCCCAGGTCTCTGAGAAGGGGAAGTTCTGTCCTACATCGGAGCAGGCATTTCCCTGTCATTGATGCTCAACTCGGGCACTTTGAGTCAAGGGAAACCTTCTAAATGAGCACATTAGGCTTTTATGCCTAATTTGACGTAACAGCATTCCAGAATTTTACAGGGCATTTCCAGAGCCTCTCCTTCAAGTGTTTCAATAGCAGCTGGAGTATTTCAAAGCCATCTGTCACCTGCCTACTCCTCTGTTTAAGTAAAATACCTCCCAACCTCAAAATTCATTGAGTGTTTACATCAGAGACCACATTTTATATAAAACCTAGATTATTTACTACATGAACCTTTACTGTCTGATCTATGTGCTATGGAGTATGTACATAGATTGGGCTTTCCAGAGTTAACACATGGTACACTAAATGAGAAAGCATCTGTCCACTTCTATTTTAAATGTAAATATCTGAATTTATTCCTAGCTTGTTCCTTGTACTTTGAATTATAAGTTCAGATATCTCACCAAGCATATCCATGCTTTAGATAGACTATGGAGGACAATGATCAGATATATGGAAAGGCAGAAGGTAAAAACTATATTAATTTGGGGCTGGGAAGTCAATTCTAACACATAGGAATACCATATGCCACAGTGTAGACTTTTCTTGGTTCTAATTTTTACAGAAGCAGATTGCCAAGCTTTCTTCTGTAGTACTGCTATGGGGGGTTGAACTGCCTACCTTTTGTATAGAAATTGATAGCTAACCCCATCCAAGGGATATCTTAACATCCTAGCCCCATCCAAGGGATGTCTTAAACTGCTAGCCCTATCCAAGGGATGTCTTAAAATCCTGCCCTGGTTTATAGACTAGCTTACTAGCTTTATCCCTAAGCAGGTTCCATTCTAATTGAAAACACAAAAACATTAAACTTCTAAAGATAATTTCTTTGTTGCTGCATTACATATATATATATTTATATCAAATTATGTATATATATATATATCAACATTTTCCAGTTTAGATTTTTCACATGAACAACTTAGTGTTGTTACATCGATCCTCTGTGCCACTGTCACCTGACACAGATGCTTCCTAAGTAATAATTCTTTTTCCCTTCTTTCCTGCACCTTGTAATGGCTATTAGATTTTGATCTCTGTATAATTTGCCTATTTTAACTGTTTAATACGACTGAGATATCTAACCCTACAAGGTGATGTGATATAATTATTATTTACTGAGTATCACACTAAGAATTCAAAGGAGGAAATATAAGGCAGTGTCAACTGTTATACTGAGTTCTAAAAACTACCTGTTTAACATTTTACTCATAAATTAGTCTCTCATTTTTAGTGAACCCTACTACCATGGGTATTTAGGTATCATATACACTTTTGGCAAAAAGTCATTGGTTCTCATAAAGCAGAAAGTGTTAGGAAAATAGGAGTGAAAATGGTAATCATAGGGAAGAAGTAAGATAAGCAACGTTATAATGTTGGGAATTGCAATCAATGACTTGAAGTAAAATGTGCATTAAATGTTGAATGGAAAACTGATTTTCTCTAGGAACCTTCATCCAATTCACTAAAAAGTTAAAGAATAAAAACGAAAAGAAAATGTATTAGTGAAACTAAAAGCAATTAGGAAGTAATGTCCTTCATGACACTCTCAAACTCTACTTCAATGTGGGATATGTGCCTTCACATTCTGCTACACATATCCATGCTTATTACTGAGTAACAAGCTTTAGTAGATATGGCATTTGAAAGATTATATTTGGAAATTTATCATACAATTGTTCTGTTTAATGATAATTATCTTCTGATATTGATATTTTGTTTCTTTCCCAATATGTTCTATCAAATACAGTGTTTATCAGATGAAAATGAAAAAACATCACTTTTTTCATTAAGTTCTTGGTCTAATAACATGGGTCTTTCTGATAATAAAACAAACAAATACATGTTCACTGTCAATAATATGATATAGAAACAATAACTCTTAAGGCCCAAACCAGTTGAAAGTATTGACATTTCAGTGCTTCTTTGTCTTTACTTTTAAAGAAGTGTGGAACTACAAGGGGGATTCAAAAAGTTCATGTAAAAATAGAATTGAGAGATAATAGATTTTTCTACAAACTTTTTGAAGCCCCCTTATGCACTTCTATCTATTTTTAGAATTATAGCTCTTACTATTACTAGGATTTTGTAAACAGAAGTTATTGTGATTAGTTGCTCTCAGTGGTTTCCAGCTCATGGTGAACCCTTACATGTAGACTGGAACTGTTCCAGAGAGTTTTCAAGCCTGTGCTTATTAAACATAGATCATCAGGATTTCTCCTGATTTTGAATAATTGAAATAATAATGGGGAATTCTATAAACTTCTGCAATCCAAAATTGATCAAACATGCAATCAAAATACATGGATATAATTACAGGTGGATTTAGAATGTGAAAGTTGGAAACAATGAAGGATCAGTAGTTGGAAAATATATCCATGATGATGGAAACCACCTTGAGAGAACATGATATACTTTTGCAAAACCAACAACAAATACCTTTTTACAAAGTAAATGGCAAATACATAGGTTTATCTTGACAACTGAAACATACAAGAATCAAATCATACGAATTATATGCATATGTGGTATGTGTTAAGGGCTATTGAGTCTGTTCCACCTCCCCATGACCCTCTGTACAACAGAACACATTACGGCCTGCTCCTGTGCCATCGTCCCAATGATTGCGAAGGTGGAGCCCCTGGTGCAGCCACTGGCTCAACCACCCATTGAGGGCCATCGTCTTTTTCTCGGGATGTCCCTTTCCAGGGACTGGTCTCTATAAAATGTCCAAACCACGTGAGATGAAGCCTCATTATCATAGCTTCTGCGAATACACTGACTGCACTTGCTCCGTGACAGGTCTGTTTCTTCTTACGGCAGTCTTGTATTTTCAGTGTTATTTGCCAACACCACAATTCAGACTCATTGATTCTTCTCTGGCGTTCTTTATTCATTGTCCAACTTTCATATGCACGAGGTGATTTGCAATAACATAGCTTTGGTTTCAAAGTAATATCTTTACTCTTTCCCATTTTAAGAGTTCTAGTGTAGCAGATTTGCCCAATATAATAGACTTTGATTTATTAGCACTGCTTCCCTGAACCTAGATTATTGATCCATGTAAAGTGAAATCCTTGATGACATCAGTCTTTTCTAATTTTATCATAAGGTTATATCTTAGTGCAGTTGGGAGGATTTTTGTTTTCTTTACATTGAGTTGTAGAACATATTGAAGGTTACTATCTTTGATCTTCAATATTAAATGTTTCAAGTCATCTTTACTTTCACCCATCAAGCTTCTCATCTGCACATTGATGGCTGTTAATGAGCTTTTCTCAAATCCCAGTCCAGCTTCACTGATTATTTTATCAGCATACAGATGGAATGGTGTGGCACAAGGCTACACCCCTGGGTCATAAAACTTTTTCTGATTTTAAACCATGCATTATTCCCTTGTTCTGTTTCATTGAATATCTCTCGGTCTCTGTACCATTTTTGTCTGAGTACAAATTGTGGTATTACCATTCTTTGCAATGTCATCCACATTTTGTTATGACCCGTACAGTTGAATGCCTTTACATGGTCAGCAAAACACAAGTAAACAGCTTTCCTGTCGCTCCTGATGATAAGTTCAAAGACTTATATCTTAGAAAACCATGTGGAGTTTTTTCTACCAAGTCTCATAGGGTCCCCGTGAGTCAGAATTCACTTGGTGATGGCGATATAGCTGGACATTTAGGTAGATTTCAAAAGGGTTAAATCACATATAAT